TGATTATTGGACGTTTGACATGCCGATAAACAGTTACTTTAAAAAATGATTAATTTATTTTGTTTATTTATTTACTGTTAATATTCACGACCAAAATTTTTGCATGTTGTACAAGGTAATACTAGTAAGTTTCTTTAAATATTTATAAAATTGGTTAAACAATAATTATTTAAATAAACAACTGAAAATTGGTATTAATTTCTAGTTGTACGATAAATTTCTAAAAATCTTTCAAAAAAAAATAAATTGTGCATGATTATAATTTTAATTTTTTTCGTTTACTTTTAAAATATTTATTTAAAATTTATTTTTTATTTATATAAAAAAGGATAAGATTTTTGAACTTGAGAATTCAGATCAGAGTAGCTGTGCGTTTGCTCCCTCCACCACTGATATTTCATTGATTTCATGCGGTCTTCAATATCTTTGAGTGACGTTTTAAATGGGACGCCCGTGATTGCAAATTTTGAAAATTTATATCTGGAATGAAACCCATTAGTTCAAAAAATAGCCCTTATATCCTTATAGTTTTGCTGTAAATAAGGGTTAACTTTAACGAGCTATAACTGAAAATAATGGGCGGATCATCAGGGTTTTTTTTAAAATACTTGTCTTTCCGAGTACTTTTAAAACATATTTTAAAATAAAAAAAAAATTTTTAAAAATATTAAATTATTGCATCCGATTTGAATTTTTCAAAAAGCATTTTAAAGCTTGAGAGCTCTTCTTTTTGTGGTGAAATTTTCAAGTATTCAAAGGCTTTAGATTTTTAGAAATTTGATTTTGAAAATTTTTTAATTAAAAAAAATTTTTAACAATTGTTATGTAAAAACTATCAAACCGAATTGGATGAAATTTGGTGTGATGATTCTATGCACTAAGAAGTTTAATTGGGAAAAGTACGAAGATCCTAGGTATTATTCAATTGTCTGAAAAAATTTGAACTAACCTAGCATTTTTTGCAATTTTTTAAATGATTTTTCCAATTTTTTCAATAACAATAATTATTTTTTCGAATTACAACTGACTATCTTGTTCAAAAGTTAATTACAAAACTTTCTTTCCTCTTCCATTTTTGTCTAAAACGAATAGTTGCGAAGTTGTCGACGAGAAATCCTAGAAAAAAAAGATTTTTTTTTGCTATTTTTCTATACTTTTTTGCAATAACAATTAAGCCCATGTTTTTTTCTATTTGCATAGAAAAATTATAATTTCGGATGTTATTTAGAAGCCGTTAAAGCAAAAATCTCCGATCATATGCGTATACCCAACCCGAAACAGATACTGCCGGGACTATAAGCAAAATTAGCTACGACAGGTAAGACATTACTATTTCTGCGTTTTACTTTAGGATTACCGTTTCGAGTGCCGTCTTTGAAAATATTTTGAATTTTGAATTTGTTTAATACTTTTTAAAGTAAAGTAAAGATTAATTACGTCATAGGCGGAGCGTTGAGGCTTTATAACAGGTGGTAATGGTTAAGCGCATCGCCTTGTTTTCGAACAATCTTATAACGCTTTCGTTTTAGGGACATATAAACCTCGGAAAGAAGGGTTATAATGTTCCAAAGTCGGGAACGGTGCAGGTGACGTTATTCAATCCCCTGCGAACTGTCGTGAAGATGTTCGTCATCATGTATGATCTCTCTGATATGCCGCCAAATTCGCAAACGTTCATCCGCCAACGCACCCTATACATGCCTACGAATTGCAAGGACACCAACCTGGAATGGGGCCCAAAGTGGCTGAGATATTTAATTCATTTAAGGTAATTCGACGTTTTTGGGTGCATTGTTGCCAAAGTAATTTTTTTTTTTCATTTCTTTGTTGCTTTTGTTACAGTACATTATATTTTTCAGATTTATGAGTTCAAAATCGGGTAAGATATACCTGCACAGCGACATAAGGATGATAATTTTCCGCAAGTGCGACATGGACACCGCGACGGCTCACGGGATAGACATGAGCTACGAGTTGCGCAGCTTCACGCACGCGCCCACCAATCCCCGGTTCTCGCCGAGGAAGTAACCAGACGTCAACATACTAGAAGTCAATACAGAAAATCGAGGAACATCTTCGTCCAAGTACATCCTTCATCACATTTGCCGTCAGCTGTTCGGCTGTTTCATGCAGAGATAATACATTTCCTTGTTAGCTCGAGGTCTAGGAACTACTGGGTGTTGTTGTATCCGTCTCGCCAAATGTACCGTGTATGTGTCGCAACTAACCTTAAATATATGTATTTTTTTGACGTAAAGTATCTCGTTGTACGTCGTTTCCTTCGATAGCTATGCAGGGTGTCCGGGAGGTGCAACCGAGGAATTTAGGGAGTCGTTTTACTCAGTAAGTTTTTTGGTTACGATGTCTACTTTTTTTCAGTGAAGCGATTTTTTTCCAATTTGTTATACATGTCATTGGTAAGAAACTGCACCTAAGAAAAATACTACACCAGAATTCTGAAGCCTTGCAGGTTTTAGATGACACTTATTGGCTAGAAAATTGATTGTAACTGTTATTTTACATTTTTGTTTTAATTTTGCAGAATAGCCAAATCTTTAGTAAATTTTACAAAAACATTCTGTTTCAAATCAGTAACAAGATATTAACGTGTTTAAAAAAATTGCACTAAATGCTTTATGATTATGTTTCCCGTTCAAATTTTTTTGGTTTTTTCAAAATTCCATTTGCAACATCAAAAAACATAAAAAATCTCACATTTCTTAATTTTACAACAATTTTATCATGCAGGACTCAAATTTGCCGGTCCCTTTGCGTTTATGCTTATTTATTCTCGTTTCTCGAGCCTTCCATAGCACTAGATTGGATTTTATTTTTACCCTCAAACAGCTGCCTCAAATCTGGATTGTTATTTGTTTTTTTAAGTCGTTTTTTTGCAGTTTTTGACTCTTGACTGATCCGTTCCTTAATCAATTCAAGTATGTACTTGCCGGTTCATTTTGTAGTCCAAAATGTATTCATAAGTATTCGACATCCATTATCAACGTAAGTTTGTGATTGGCCAAGGAAATCGTTGGAGACGTGGACTTAAGGAACGATTAAAAATGTTAAATTGAGATTTAACAGGATTCAGTTGTAGCCTTCATTTGTTTAACTGGAATTCAGTACAAGATACGAGATTGCTGCGTCATTTGCATATTATAAATAGTACATTTTATTTTCTTTCCATCTTTGAAAGTTACTATTTACTTTTATCTATATTTTGCTGTTTTCAAGAAATTTTCTGTCTCTAAAACCTTCAACTTGTGCAAAAGTTCATTTCATAGTCCAAAATGCATCCCAAAGTATTCGACATCCATTATGGACGTAAAAATCGTTGGAGACACGGACTTAAGTGCACGATTAAAAATTGTAAGTTGAGATTTAATGGAATTCAGTTCTAGCCTTCATTTGTTTGACTGGTATTCAGTACGAGATATGAACGATCGTAAATCAGCGAAAATTTTTGTTGGGAGCTAGATTGCTGGGTTATTTGCATGTTATAAATAGTAAATTTTATTTTCCTTCCAGTGTAAATCTTTCAAAGCTATTATTTACTTTTATCCGTATTTTTCTGTTTTCAAGAAATTTTCTGTCTAAAACTTTCAACTTGTGGAAAAGTTCATTTCGCAGTCCAAAATGCATTCTAAGGAATTCGATATCCATTGCTGACATACGTGAAAATTGTGGAAGACATGGGCTGCAGACTTTTTTTTTGTTCCTCGCACCAATGTAAATCTTTCGGAATGCCATTATTTACTTTTCATATTTTTCGGTTTTCAAGAAATCTCCTGATTAGATGTATTGTCCGGAGTGTTTAAAACTTGTAACTTGTACAAAAGGCTATCGAAGGCTTTTTAACATTGAGAAAAATGCCCGTTTTTGTGTGCAAGTATGTTGCAATTTGCAGATTGAAAGTGAGAACAGATGTATCGTTGCACTTTTCCATCAAAAAATGTACTGAAAGATTAGAATTTTGAATTTTTAGGCTGGTCTCCAAATATTGATTGCATTTTTTCTCGGTACCGGTTAAATTCTACTTAATTATATCAAAAGAATCTTTCTGTAACATTTTTTAATGACCGTCAATTATAAGCTGCTTAGTTTTTTGAAAAATCAAATGAAAAAAGTTATGATAAATATTTTGTTACAGAATTTTGATGCTCTTTTTCTCATAAATGCTGTTTGCCACCAATAATAAACGTGTTAAATTTGAAAAAAATCGCATGACGAAAAAAATTCTAACCATATTTTAATTAAAAAAATTTATGCAACTTTGTCAATGTCGAGTTATTTTTACGACTGTAAAATTTGTTGCTCACGATTTCTGGACACTCTGTATAGGAGTCAATTTTTTCCGATATTCCCAAAGCACTTTTCCCAGGAATTTAAAATTTCCATTTTTCTTATCCCAAACGCTGAATTTACCGAAGTAAGCGAACGGCATCGATTCGTCATTTTCTAAACTGAATTTTAAGGTTAATTGTGTACAACACGTAGAGTGTTGTAGGGTAGATACACAGTATTAACACATTAATGTTTTCAGCGCTGGCAACTTAAGCGACACTTTTCATTAAGCACAAACGAGTGTCGTTTGTCGAGAATGTTGTTTTGTTAGTGTAATAATAAGTGCATCATGATTTTTTTTTTACTTTTTTATAAGTTAAAAAAAAGTTACCATTTTAATTCAGTTACAGTTACAATACTTATTCGATTATTCAATAGATGGAAAGCAAGGGGTTTCCGTTTTATGTGGATATTTATTTGGAAGGTCTAGTATGTTTAACCCCTTAAACGATTTATTTTTCCGGCAAAATTTTGACGTTATTGTGAATCGTAGCTAAGATCGTGGATTAGGACAATGTGTTGTGATAAATTAAAAAAGTTATATGATAGCTAGTAGTTTTTTTTTTAGAAGGAACAGCTGTTGACACAATTATTTTATTAAGTGGGAGAGATACATTCATTATTTTCTGATATAGGAACTCTAAAGAAACTATGACGTTATTACACGTTGATGACGTGCGATGCAATTTCTTACATCGCCGCGTGCCAATAGTGCGCCACGCGAGTCTAATCGTGTGGAATGGGGTCATGCCTCCGCAGTAGGATGGTGGGGGTGATCTCGCCTTCGTCAGCGGTATCGCTGTACTGTTGTCCGAAAAACCATCGTATCGTAAAGAGGTCACAATGTTATTCATTTTAATTTTATTTCCAAGTTACCGACCCAAATAGACTTCACAGGTGGCGATCCTAATTAAATCTGATCAGTTTTTCCATCAATATACAGGGAGATTCAGAACTTCAACAAAAAAAATTTAAATGTACAGAGGACACTTACAAATACATTTTTGTTTCTACGAATTAACACAAATGTTGTGTTGCTTGACCATAAATTAAAACAATATCCATCAACTCCGAGTTGCTGTACATGTAAACCATTTTTAACACTTGAAAAACTAATGTAAACACTATCACAACGATAATAATAAAATCGGATTTCACTATTCGTAATCGCCTGGGGCCATGTGGAGAGAGAGCGCAATGCGCACATGCTAGAAACTATAGTAGCCCAGCAATGTAAAGGTTGAAAATACTACAACTTCAATAATTTTTTTTCAGAACTATAAGGATTTTACAAAAATTTTTTTTACGATGACTCCATTTTTCATGAAGCATGTATTCTCAAATATTTTTGGATAAGTTGCGAATCACCCTGTATAGTGATAGTGATTGTTTGCAAGCTACATCTTTGGGACAAACTTAAGCGAGTACAATAAGTGAATGTCATATCTGAAGTATAGTTTTTTTTAGTGTGCCAATTTGACATTTCCAATACTTAACTGCCACTTCAAAACCCTGGTTAAAATAGACGCAGAATTGTTGTCACTCCCATCAAATATTTTTTACCCGCTCCGTTGAAGTTAATATGAAACATATCATTTTCGTTGAATCTTTTTTAATAATGTAACAGCTCTATCAGAAAACAAATGAGGGCCGGTTTTTGGCTGAAAAAATTTTTTTTAGTACCTACTAGCAATACTGAAGCCGTTCATTTTTATTTCGAAATGTAAGCTGAATCTATTGCCAACAAAGTCTAACAATGCAATATCAGTGCATTTTAATGGAACATTTTTTTTAAATCGTCAAATACTTAATACAGTATTTAAGCATTACCTCCTTGTTTATACCGGGTGTTCATTAAAGAATGAGACAAATTTTACCACTACATTCTATGATGAAAATTAATGGGGTTGGTTTTCGAGATACAGGATGTTAAAATAAAAAAATAAAAACGATTTTCAGGCTTATCGGAGATACGTTATGGGAATTTTTTCTAATTTGATATGAGGACCTACATCATTTGCTGCGATTTCATATCAATATAAAAAACCAGTAGCGTGCACTTCCTTGCCGATTTTAAACACACTTTTTTCAAAAACTGTCTCAGCGATGTAGAACAAGTACTTTTATGCTGAAAAATCATTAAAAATTTGAAAAATGTTATTTATTTTCGCTTTATGCAGTGGCGTAACATTTATTTTTTAGAAAAGAGTCGAAAATATTGTTTGCACGACACCGGTTTTTTGTATTGACGTGAAATCGCTGCAAATGATGAAGGTCTTCGTTAAAACTCCTCATCAAATTAGAACAAATTTCGTTAACGTATCTAAAATTCATTTTTATTTTTCCACTTCAACACCCTGTATCTCGAAAACTAAGCGTTTATGAGCAACGTTGCATATGAGTTTTCCCCATTAATTTTCGTCATAGAATCTAGTGGCCCATTCTTTAACATACACCCTGTATACATGTAATATAGTTCCACAATCAGTCGAACTTAGAAATGAAAATACTAGATGGTGACTCACAAAACCCTGTCACCTTTATTGAAAGTGACGGGGACGTTATGAGATAGTCGTCATCTAGTATCTTTATTCCTAAGTTTGACTAATCGTCTCGCCGAAGTGTTACATCAAGTCAACGACTTTGTTTTAATATCGTGTCCCTTATCCAAACGTTTTCGAGTCGAGTCGCTCCGTTTTCTTTTGAGTTTCTACAATGTGAACAGGTTAAATGTATTCTTTCTGGTTTCATTCATTTGCATTTTTAGATAAATAGCTCATAACTGCCATTGAATTTGTACATAGTTGTATTATATATTTTTATTGTAACGATTTTTTTATTGACATTACTGGTATGTTATTAAATAAAATGAGAAGAGAGAGTTAATTATAGTTATTGCTTGTTTCACTGTACGTTAGATTTCAGGATAGCAGTTGTTTTGTTCCGAGTCGGCCATTGCAAATGGCAAGACGTTTATATGCACTGTCCCTTTCATTTCGAACAAAAACAGTTCTTCTTTATGTGCACAAGGTGTAATAATATAAATTCGTAAATATGCAGTTGAAGAAAAATTTATTGATTCAGCTTGAAGAGTTCACGGTACTGTAGGAATGAAAAATTGCAACAGTGGGTGCAATATAACTTACAAAGTATGAGTCATATTTTAAATGTCATTGATACCTAACGCCTACTGGCATAATCCGTTACTTTTTACCTACTGGTAGGTTGTTCTGTAAGATATAACCTACAAATGTCATCGCTATCTAACACCTACTGGTATAAACCGTTACTTTGTACCTACTGGTAGGTTACTCTGTAAGATATAACCTACAAATGACATTGCTATCGAACACCTACTGGCATAAACCCTTATTTTGTACCTACCGGTAGGTTACTCTGTAAGGTATAACCTACAAATGTCATTGCTTTCGACGCCTACTGGTATAAACCGTTACTTTGTACCCTGGTAGGTTACTCTGTAAGATATAACCTACAAATGACTGCTATCGAACACTTACTGGCATAAACCCTTATTTTGTACCTACCGGTAGGTTACTCTGTAAGGTATAACCTACAAATGTCATTGCTTTCGACGCCTACTGGTATAAACCGTTACTTTGTACCCTGGTAGGTTACTCTGTAAGATATAACCTACAAATGACTGCTATCGAACACTTACTGGCATAAACCCTTATTTTGTACCTACCGGTAGGTTACTCTGTAAGGTATAACCTACAAATGTCATTGCTTTCGACGCCTACTGGTATAAACCGTTACTTTGTACCTACTGGTAGGTTACTCTGTAAGATATAACCTACAAATGTCATTGCTATCTAACACCTACTGGCAAAACCCTTACTTTGTACCTACCGGTAGGTTGCTCTGTAAGGTATAACCTACAATTGTCATTTCTTTCGACGCCTACTGGCATAAACCATTACTTTGTACCTACTGGTAGGTTATTCTGTAAGGTATAACCTACAAATGTCATTGCTTTCGATGCCTACTGGCAACTATACAAAGCATTACTTTGTATAGTTGTTACGATCTCAATTGGAACCACATAAAAACATTTAACTCATAAATTCTACGTAATCCATAGACATCCAGAAAAATTTAACCCTGTCTCGTCTAGATATACAATATTCCGAGCTATATTACCATATAATGACCATACGATTGTCGTTTTTTTATGTTTAAAATCGCATTGTAATAAAGTACGTCGTAAAATATTTAAAGATTTATAATTATAATCAGGATAATCGCTTAATTTATCTAGAATCATGTTTAAAGTAGGAACTTTATTTTCTTTATACATATTATAAATTGTGAGCCGCATTACATCTGGTAAAATCGTTAATTTTCTTTAATTTTGTATTTTTCCGTTTCCTCTTTGTACCGTGATCAATCCTTCTTTAGTTACGCGATAAATTCTCGTTTTTGATATCTTAGTTAATTCGTTAATACGTTTCCGAACTTTTTTTTATCACATTGTTCACTATTTTTAATTTTCAAACCTTCATATATATTTAATATAATACGTTGACTTTTTACGTGTAAATCTTTGTTTTTAAACTCTGAGTTTGTTTCGATACTTTCGACAAAAACCGGTTCCACTATTTGGGGATTTTCCCGAGTTATTTCGTTATCCTCCGCTTCAAAGAGTCTCCAGAGAGCCACGCTAAATTACTAGATAATTACATATAACATTTATTTTAATAACTATTACCCTTTACTGGTTACGATATGAACAAAAATATCAACTAATAAATAATAATACGTATTATACCAACAACATACCCCGACAAGCAATGCTCTGCACTGCACTGACAAAGCGGCAAAGCTAAGTGAACCCGTGCACCATACAAAAAAATTATTTACGACCTAGTGGACCAATACAGGTTTGCTTTGATGACCAGCGCGCCGCCATCAATTCTACATCAGGCGGACTCGCCGAATTGCTATTCGAGTATAAATTACGAGACACATCATGGTCAAAGCATAGGAAAAAATTTCAGGAGAAGTGCATACGGTCCTGTGTTTTAAGATTTACAGGTTCCAATTGACATCGTAACAACTATACCTACTGGTATAGGTCGGTATATAAAAAATAACCTACAAAGTTTGTTGAAATGTCATCACTACTCGATACCTAATTGTATAGAGCATTAGTTTGTACCTACTGGTAGGTTACTTTGTAAGATATAACCTACAAAGTTTATGTATTATCCAGAGTTCATAGTTGCCGGGAATATGTACCAGGAAAAGTCGGGGAATTCATTATTCTTCATAAAAAAACGGAATAATCAGGGAATTTTAAAAATATTTATGAAAGTCAGGGAATTTGAGGTTTGCTACGGGAAATTTTGTGAACGCAGGCCCAAAAAGAAAACTTTGCAGTTTTAAACTTTCATAAGAGGTTCTTTAGGTATAAAAAAGATTATGGAGTCCAGTTGAGAAAAGTTTAATACATAAACATCAATTGGTATGTAAAAATGAACTAAAAGTGACCTGGATTTTTTTTTTATAAGTCGGAAAACCTGGTAAAGTCGGGGAATTCTTTATTACATTTGAACTACGAACCCTGATTATCTTAAAAGACATTGCTATTCGATGCCTACTGGCAGAAAGCATTACTTTGTATCTACCGATGGAATGACCTACTAATCCATAGGTGCTATGAAAGCATGACTCTACCTACTTTATAGTTGTTGATTGCACCCTATACAGGGCGAGAAAAACTCGGGTATTTTGGTTACCTTAAAAACTACATATAAGGAAAAAAGCGGTAAAAGTTTTCCCTGTTCTTGGAATATAATAATTTTGAAATTAGATTGATAAAGTGCAAAAATTTTCTGAAAATACTTTTTCTCCAACCGTTACAAAATTATAACATTTTTTGACCGTCGAGTATCTAAAAGGTTGACATTCCTTCCTGAGAAAAAAAATGGTATTTTAGCAACAAAAGTATTCATTTTTAATCCTAGGAGCTAAAGTTAAGTAGGTAGGTTTAGGCAACTATTAAAATTAAATAAACCACTAAAACTGTCATTACCTTCATTCTTGGAGCAATTCTCAAAGCAATCCAATACGTTTTCATTAATAGTTATATTATTTCCAGATGTTGTAAAATCAAAAATGAAAAAGGTACTTTCACTATTCTTTTCGCAATATTTTCTTTATTCAAAAGTTCAATGTAGTCTTCTGCCACAGTGCTCGATCTTGATCCTCCATGTCTTTTAAGACAAGTGTGGTCACCATAGCCATCAACTAAAATAGTAGCAGATGTTTGTCGTAATGCGTGTCCACTGTACTCTTTACAGTAGTTTAGTTTCAAAAATTTTGCCACTTGCGAGACGGCACTGATTTTATGAATACCGACCACCATTCGATGACACTCCATTAACATATCTGAGAAATTATCGACGTTCTACCAATCCGGGAGGATATAAAGCAACATATTTTCAATAAAAGTAATACTTTTAATCCTAATAATATACTATTTTTGAGTAAAATACAGAGTGAAGGGGAAAATCATAAGCTTGTGCTTCATATAAAATCTATTTCCAAACTCATTTGAATTTGGTCCACCATGTACAGTATTTAATATTTTCTTTATTCTGAAGTTTGTGTATTAGTTCAGGGAGTACGCACTGAGACAGATAATATTTAAAATTGATTAAACTACTAATTTTGGGAGGTAACTATGTCGAGTCTGAAATAAATTTCTCTTTAACGCATTAACGGTCGACAATTAATTTAGGTAACAACAACCTGAATTTATTTGCAAATAGTGATGTGTATTTTATTGTTTTTTAAATGGGAAATTTATGGAAACATACAAATATTTTAGTTACTGAAAAAATTATACAAATATTTTGTTTTAATGTGCTGCAAATATTTCATCACTATTTGCCGACAATTTGTTGATTTTATTTCATTTTACAATGAAACAAATATTTTTTCCTTATTTTGGAATAGAAGAAAAATAATGTGCATATAGATCGGAATGGGAATGTATTAATATAGATATATACAAATATTTATTATATATACCTACATACATTATATCATACTAATTTTTTATTAGTACTTGAAAAATAAATGCGTGACTATAATTATGTTTGTTTGATTACTTTACGTTTCAGTGCAAAAAACTAAATTTTTCTTAAATACCTATTTCGTTTGAGAAAAATAAATAAAAAATTGTTACAAAAAGTACAAAACAGGATTTACATTTTTACAATAACTCGAGTAAAAAAATAAAATATGAAAATAAATATTTATTTCTACACAATTATTACAACTTAAAATTTATCCGGATACGACTTAATTTCCTCATACAATCTCTTCTCGATGAGGGGAATAAGCAATCTATCTTGCTCAACGTTACAACTCAAATACACTGCTTTGTTAACTTTTTTTGAGATTCTACAAGCGATATTTTTTGAGACCTCTTCAGAAAAGTTGCCTATTAACGTAGTACCAGTTGGGCATTTGTCGTACCGATTTGTCATAGCAAATGATAAATCGCTAAACTGAAGACGATCTTTATCATTGATATAGATGAATAATGAATCTATCATTTTAATTACTTGGAATACAATTTTATGTTCTGTTATTTCTGACACAAATTTGTGAACGATAAATTTCGGTTTTGTTAGTTCTACCTCGCACATAACAGGAGTATCTATATCCTCGGTATTCTTCATTCCAATAAACTAAAAATATATAATTCATTAATAGACAAAGCAAATGTTATACATGTATATTACTTACACGATAAAAACACAGTTTTTCGATATTTTCTTGAATCTGAGACGGTAAATAATAAATATTTACAGCAGATGACAGGAATGATTTATAATGAAAACAATCAGTGTTGCCACTTGCCAGAGTAAGAAAGTGAATGCAAAAAGTCGTGCCATTATAACACGTTCACGGTTCAGTGAAGTGGAACGCTCAATTATGTCCACTGACCAATCAAGTTGCACTAAATAGTTCCAAATTATCATGCCGCCATCTGTCGCTGAGAAGTTACACTAGAACTGCGGAACTACCAACTGTAACAGCTTCACATTCACAGGTGAATTAATTGAACCATAGATGGCGGCGCGTTCTCCGGTACTGTTATGTAATTGAGCACTTTTTTGATAATTCTCGTGGGCTATCCATTTTTTAAAAAAGTTATAGGGTTCTGAAAAATCAGAAAAAATTCCGGTGAACCATTATGGCACTGACCAACCCAAAACTGCATTCAGTTCCTCTATAGTTCCACCATTCTTCCAATTTTTGTATTTATTTTCTTTTATTTCCATTTCAATTTTTATTGGCTAGGCACGACATAATACATTACAAATAGATAATTAGGTGTATTAGAATTTATAAAATTTTCTATATTTTGCCGGAGTTACCAGTTTCATTTCAATTTTTATTGGGTAGGCAACATACAATATACTGTTTCGTACTTGGTTGCAGAAAAATTTAAAAAATTTTCTTTATGTTACCAGAGTCGCCAGTTTTTTACTTGTATTTTTTTATAACTTAAATAGGAAAAAGGACGTCTACTAATTACCACAGGACTGTGAAGGATTGTAGGTAATTATATAAAAAATGAACACTGTTATCAATAAATCTTCTTTTATAATTTTGTATTAACTAATGAAGCTTAACAGTTCACAATAAAAATAAATGGGAACAAAAGAAGTATTTTTTTTTCGATACAGCTAATGCGATCACGTTTAATTTCGATCTAAGGTTTGGATAATATCTTTCTCTCACGCTGTCACGTGATTGGCTAACGCAACTCCCTCCGCTCTTTATCTATAGCATAATATCACATACTATAGATAGAAGGAATATATATAGAATATAGAATATAGGATAGAAGTATGTGCATAATATACTCAATGATTAGAGAGAAAGGAAATGAGTGAGAGAGAGTACCCAAGCTAGCGCCCTTTCTCTCTATAGCGTCTACACTCCATGTAGTATATACTCTAGGGACCATATTCGCGAATGCAGCTAAGAGCTCGCCCTCTGGCGGTGACAACTGATACTAGCGAAACAAGGTAAATATTTCTTCTGTGTGTGACATTTCGTTTTGTATTTTATTTAAAACTGAATTTAGTGTTCGTTTTTTGAACACTGTTATTTTAAGAAAATAGTGTGAGGAAAATTTCAGCAATTATGGATAGAAAGAAGAAACTGTCAAACTATTATTGTTCAGTTCAAGGTTGCTCTTCATGGTCCAAGAAAAATCCAGAATTAAGTTTTCATCAAACCATTGAAGAAATTTTCAAAATATTATTGCCGATAGATANTATAGACGTCATAAAATTTAAATAATAGTATCCCATTGTATATGTATATTATAATGGTCGTGGTGTAAAACACGAGTGTTTATTGGTTTTTCACAAAATAGTTGTTTGTTTTTACGGATGTTATTTTGAAGTAAAGTTAAAATTCTTTATACTGTAATGAAATACAGAGATAAACAATGTATGTATAAAGTATACTAATCCTTCTTTATCTTTCTTACGACTAAATATTTGAAAATTATTACGAATATTAACGGACGTTTTCAATAAATTTATGAGCAATTTTCTAGAAATAATATATTTTAACACCGCAACCAAATTCCAAAAACTAATTTCCTGCAGAAATTTATAACAAACTTAAATAGTAGATACAGGGTATCCTATTTTAATGTACCAGGTCCATAATTTTTTTTAATTCGATTTTTATAAAGAAAAAATCGACAAAAGTTATCAGGTTTCGAGGGGGTTAAATTATGGTGACCTTGATTTTGACCTTAAAGTCAATTATCAAGGTCATTTCAAGATCAAGAAAAAATTTTTTCGTATGAAACGTCTTGCAAGATTTTCTTGAAATTTGGTACACTAATACCCCAATACAGAAAATACTCCTCCCCCCCCTAAAACCAAACCGCCATAAGTTTTGGTTTGTTATAAAATTTTCCCTTTTCTAAAATTTCTATATTTGTACAATTTAATGGACTATTATTTTTATTGATACGCACATCAATGTGCATCAAGAAACAGATGCTCTGATGAAAAAATTGGTGTTAAATGGAAAACTAGAAGTTGCAGAAAAATGTGGCATATGTTTCTATATCCTATACGCAAAATACTAGAAGAACGCCTCTTTTTAAAAAGATACAGATTATAATTTATTCGATGTGAACAAACAAAACGACCAAAAACTAAAAACCCACGTATCTTTTAAATGAATCGAGATATCGTACTGTAGTTGTCAATGTTAAATTTTTCTCAAAGATTGAGGCCATGCTGCCTACTCTTTGCTTATCTCTTCGGATAATATGAAAACAAAGGAAGCGAGAAAAGTATTCAGAAAAGAAAAGAACGTGGCAATAGAACAAGAAACAAACACTACTCTGAATTTTTTACTTCAGCCATAACTTCATATTCATTCAACAATTTCATCTCGAGTAGGAAGGTTGTTCTACTATTAGTTCAATTCGAATTCATTTAAAAATAAAGCATTTCACAATATATTGTTAATTACCTTTTATGGGATCGTCGTTTCAATAGCATCACGTGTTCTCTTCAAAAAGTATTTGTCACATATTGTGATATTTTACAAGTGATATTATTTCAATTTAGTATATTAATTATTATCTTATATTTTTAAGTACGTATTTACAAAAAAAAATGTTTCATTGAAATTAAATTCATTGATAAGGAGGTTAGTATAGTACAATATATAATTAAGAAAGTTATATTTGATATTTTGAATTTCATTTAAAAAGATGATGAAAAAATGTTAATTTGTATTGGTTAGGCCGTAAGAAAATTCTTACTTTTGCTCATAGATTGATCATAAAGTTTAAGGTTTAAATTCACAGCTAACTTTTGAATTTTCGATTATTTTAAATAACAGCTACAATACGTATTATTAGTTATTCGTATTTTTGTTGAAACCGACAAAGTTTTTTGAAAACTGACAAGAGTAAGAAAAGTTTAAGAATTAAAATCCCCATAAAATAAAGTAATCATTTTTTAAGTCCGCCAATGGGTTACAAAGTTTTGTTACATTTTAATGCTGCATCATCCCTTTAAAATGCTGCAATTGAACTCTATTTACTGGAGATTGGTACACTCACACCACGTACCAAATTTGATATGTCTGTTCTTATACGAAACACCCTGTATTATTAGTCAAGTGTTATAAACAACAAATATGAATTTTTTATCGACATTGATTTGATAAGAGTTACGCTATAAAATAGAGTACCTGATGCTTCCACTGATTGATTCGACAAACAGCACTCGAAAGGTAGGTACGTACATTTATGTTATTTTTATTTTCATACCATTCTAGCTGTTCTACATTGCGCTTTCTGCATGAACTAATTCATAAAGTCACTTCGTGAATAAGACGAACAAGTGTAATCTGTTGTCAAATAAGTTCTTCATGAATTTGGTCATGTTGTAACTCTTGTCGATTTCTTCATGAAGTCCAGTAGTGCCAAGAATAGTGAGGTTAGGTTATCTGTTCACGTGTTTACTTCATAACTGACATCTTTTCTTGTAACATAAAATCAATAATGAACTTATTTTAATTGGCTCTTGCTTATACTGTTATTCATTTTATGTTGTGTCTTTATTGGCATTTTTCATTTTAACTTGTGTATGTGCAACTTACTAAAGCATATGACTGTTTTATACTACTGTTATTTTAACTAATGTAAAATACTTTATTAAGTTTTATTACTTTTGAATTTACTTATAGTTTTTTTTCTTCGAATTGTTTTATCAATTGTTACTGTCATTTTTCTTTTTTATACTACATATCGTGTCCCCACCCATTCCAGTAAATGGATATATTGTGTTGTATGGTGTATCAAATAAATAAATAAATAATGTGCAATTGGTATGGTAGGATTACAATTTTTTTTCCATGTGTCTATTTAAAAAGATAATAATTTTCAACTTGTTCAAGAAAATTTTTTTCATTTTGTATTTGTCTTCATTTACTATTGACTTGGTTGCAATGGTGGTAGTAGCTATTTACGTTTCAAATGAATTCATGAGAACTTGTCAATGTAAATCAGCTATAACGGATAAATCTTCTTTTTCAGTATAAAATGGGGCATTTTTTAGCGCTGTTCGTCCTACTACTCACAGCAGTAGCCTGCCATTCGGCATCACAAAACGTCACTGCCGTTTCCTGTACAATTTCAAAATACAACGCTGACCACATCAAAAACGCCCAAAAGGAATGTTCTGAAATCATCATCGACGGAATAATCGTACCATATGGAGTAAGTTTGGATCTAACCGGGCTTCAACCAGGTACCAAGGTGATATTTCAAGGTACCACTGTATGGCAGTACACAGAATGGGAAGGACCGTTAATTAAGATCAAAGGAACGAATGTGGAGATCACCGGTGCCGACAATCACGTGCTCGACGGCAGAGGTGCCCTGTGGTGGGATGGTTTGGGAGGAAATGGAGGTAAAGTCAAGCCGAAGTTTTTGAGGGTAACTGTAACTAACTCCGTTGTTCGCAATTTATACATTAAAAATGCCCCCAAGAATGCGGTCTCAGTTAATGGTTGTATCGATTCCGTGATAGAATATATAACCGTCGACGATAAGGATGGAGACAAGAACAAGGGCGGTCACAACACCGATGCATTTAACGTTAATTCCTGCAACAACATCACCATACAGCATTGCACCGTTTACAACCAAGACGACTGCATGGCGATGAACTCTGGACAAAACACCTACTTCTTAAACAACTACTGCTCTGGTGGTCATGGTATTTCTATCGGTTCCGTAGGCGGTGGTAGTGAAGTTAAAGGAGTATTGGTCGACGGTTGCCAAATCGTCGATTCCGACAACGGAATCA